TCAAATTGTTGCAAGAATACAAGAGTACCCCCTCTTTGAGAAAAATAATAATAACAGCAATGATGATACAATATTATAATATGCTGGGGCACCTGGCTGGCTCAGTTGGTGGAGCATATGACTCGTGATCTCAGGGTTGTGAGTTTGAGTCCCACATTGAGTATAGATTACTTAAAAGTAAAATCTTTTAAAAAATTGTTACATAATGCTTACCAAGGGTCATGTACTTGTTCTAAGGACTTCCATATAATTCACTTAATCCTTACAACAGCCTAATAAGGTAATTAATTTCATCCCTATTTTATAGGTGAAGAAACTAACCCATTAGAAAAACTAATTAACATGTCTCAGGTCATACAGTAGATGGTGTAACTAGAATTTGAACTCTGGTTCCAAAATCAGAGCACTTAACCAACATTTTATGCAGCCTCTTTTTAGAGAGGAGACAATGTTACTGGTCAATTTTTCCCTCAAGATATAAATACATAATACTATAATCAATGCCTTGATCGGAGATTCCTTCCCAACGAGTATGTCCTATGTCACAGACCCTACTCAACAGCATGAATCAACTGGCATCGTGGAAAGACTGACATGAAGAATGTTTTCTCTTGCCTTCCTTCACTTAGTTTCTGCGATGGTCTTTGGCAAGTCACATGGGTCTGGATCATGCCAAACATAGGGTCCTAGGAACATCATTTTGCTTGGAATGGCCACATTAGAAATTGGGGATTGGCTTATGTTCTGAATGTACTGGGTATGGAGCTGATGTTGTGATCACCTTTCAGTTTAATTGGAATTAGGGCACATGAAAAAGTTGGTGTAGACTTAATTCAACTTCTCAGGTCCTAGGGGATGACACCCACTGTGGGAGCCCAGAAGGTAGTTGCTGGAGGAATTCCAGTTCAATCTAGTCATCCAGAAGTCATCTGGCTGACACTGGGAAGAATAAAAATTAAGGACCTGAATTTCTTTGAATTTTAACTTGAGGAGTTGGAACTTTTATTGGATTTTAACTCACAAAGGTAAGATTATTTGGTTTTGGAATTCACTTCTGTGTAAATGTAAAGATTTGGGATTTTCATTTCTTTGGAATTTTATTATTTGAATTTAATTTCTTCACAAAAATTCCATAATGGACATGAGTTAACATTCAAGTTCAGGGTATGTTTTTGGAATTTTGTGATTGAAATACACTAATCCTGTCATTTGATCTCATTGCATTATAGAATCTCTGAAGAATGTGTCAGAGAATAGATGGCTATTTTGGACAGTGCTATTACGTATAATTTGGGGTATGAAATGGAATAGAAAGTGAACATTCAGTGTTCAGTAGCATGGCCTTAGAGCTAATTATATTCTAAGTCATTTCGGAATCTTCTAGTGTAAATTTCATACTACCCACCAGGATCTAGAAGGATCCACATAGGAGCCGGTTTTGGTTATTGGAATAATAGGTCCTAAGAGACTGAGGACCTCCTTTCTCAAGAGGCAGAGTGACTTCTCTGATTTACCATAATGGAATAATTAAGCCAAAGAAGTTAAGAGAACAAAAAGTTAGGAAATGTTAGGGGAAATGAGAGTGTTATCAAACAAATCTACCAAAATCTGACACTATCTACATGTGTTCTGCCACTGCTATGGGCTTCCGTAATACCAAATAGCTCAATAGGGGAATGATGTCAGTAGGGTGTAGAAGTTCGGTTAGTGAATATGTGCTTTTTCCTAGGCAAAGAAGGCCAACAGAGAAGGAGTAGAATTCTATCTTTTGGCAGAAAAGAAAAAAGACTTTATCTTGGCTGCAGCACTGGGGTTCCTTGCAGGACTCTGGGGTTTTGCTTCCTCCTGTGCCTTCCTTAAAGGAAGCCCCACTGTCTCAAACCTCCAGTTGATTTCCATCTGCATTGTCTCATCCTCTGTTGTTTTTGTGCAGCTTTAATATCCTCTGAAGCAGCACTCTGAGATACCTATGCAGGCTGTTTACAGTATCTCCTAAGTTAATTATTATTTAAGTTAGTATTCTAGTTTTAAAGGTACATAGATTTTGAATGATCTTCCTCAACCCTATTATCTTCATAGCCTTGTAATTTTGATGGGTGATTTTGCAGAATGCATTTTTTGTATTATGTTCTAGCAGAAATGCTGTACTAGCATGTTGACCACATATAGGAATGTGGCATCTTTACACAGTGGGTAGTTCTCTTCCACCCTAGAAGGAATAGATCTTTGTAGGAGCCATAACTAAAGAAATTTTCCACACGTAACAATATAAATTTCTTTGTTAAAATCTTCTATGGTTTAGAAATCTAAAAACATAAACAATTTTCAAATCCCATGGGTTTTTAAGGGTTTCACTAGACATGATAAAGTTTAGTGTCATGTCAGTTGGGCTCATTTCAAAGTATATCTAATTCTAAAAAAGAAGCATTTTGTGTATCTTTTACTTTTTAGTCCTTGGTACAATTACGCTTCTAATCTGTCCTTATAAATAAAAAGTAATTGCTATGATCTTAACATTAGACACGATTTTCTGATCTGACATAAAACAAGCAAACAACAAGTCACACATCAAATGAGAGTATTCGTGATTATTTAAATTAAAAGGTAACTTTCACATAACACGACCTTTTCCAAGTTGAAGTTCAGAAGACCATCAAATATAAAAGTTTAGGGACTTTAATCATTTGATGCACAAATTATACTAACAAACAAAGAAAAAAGAAATGCAAAAATTTAATGTTAAGTGACTAGGGTGCTACAGACTGGAAGTTCCTCCAACAGGATTAGCTTCTTTGAGTATGTTAAGTCTAGTGAACTTGTTATGCTTCCACATGTTAGTAGTTGCATAGGCTAATTTCAGCTGGCATAAGCTTTTATAAGTATGCAAAAACACAGGGCAAGGCATGCATTAAAATGTGATAATAGCACACTTCTGGGACACGTGAAGCATGAGACACAAATCTGAATGCCTCTGGCATTCATGAAGTATCACACCTCAGAGTCAGAGCTTTTATGTTTTGATAAGTAATTGTGTTATACCACATTTGGGAGGGAAAAAAAATCAACTTTCTAAACATAAATCTTTCCCTTTAACCAGGATTCCTTCTATTTTAATTCTAACGATTTATTCAAATACAATTTTTTAATTCCTGGTGAGCTGGAAATAATTCAAAGGTAGATAAGTTCTTAAGAAAACATGTTAGTTATTTATTTTATTAATGCAAGTTTAAGAGTGATTATATAATATTGTTGATCATAAAGATCATTTTAGCCAGTGTGATAAGGGGAGATTGCAAAAAGAAGAAATAAACTTCAATAATGATGCCCTCTGTATCCTCCCCACCCACAAAAGACCATAAGGAAGTATTCCCTGTGTTACATATGTCTTACAGGTAAATAACTAGCTAGATAATGGGTATGTCTACAGAAGCTTGGAAATCTTCAGATAAAACTCCTAATAAAATGAAAAATAATTATCATATCTAACACACATATTAAAAATGACCAAGAAAAAATTGATTTACTTTCTAAATACACAAACACACATATCATCCCTGGCAGAAAAAAAATTTAAGAGTTATAAAAATAAGTATCAAAATATAATAATAGTCACTCAATAGTATTTTTTTTTAAACACTTTATTGACTTATTTATTTGAGAGAGAGAGAGAGAGAGCACAGAGGGAGGGGCAGATACCCTGCTGAGCAGAGAGTGGGATGTGGGACTCGATCCCAGGACACTGAAATCATGACCTGAGCCAAAGGCAGATGCTTAACCCTCTGAGCCACCCAGGTGCCCCAGTAGCCACTCAATAGTATTAAGATGATAAAGCCAGTAATGGTTTGCTTTTATGCAGTACAAGCAAGGATATTAGAAATAAATATAAGTATAGCCATATCCTAAAAAGACTTAAAGCTTTTTGGATCTAGCCTTGCAGTACGTATGCCACTTAATATTTTGGACCTCTTCAGGCATATGGAGTTAAGGCTTAAACGAAGTGATAGGATCTTAACAGTAGTACATTTAGTAGTGCTAATAGTAACACTACTAAAGTAATAGTAATTACTACTAAAGCAATAAAAAGGAAATTTAAAAAAGTAAAAAGTAAATAACAGTAGCAATTACTACTAATAGTAATTTAATAGCAGTACAAACACGGAATTCATGGTACATTTTGCTTTTAGAGACTAGCAAATCAGTGTTTTTAGAAATACAGATTGACAAAGACATACAATGAAATTATTTTAAAACACATTTCATAACTTTTGAAAACCTCTAGAAGTTAACCAAAACAATTAAAAAATATCTGAGAACACAGCAGTATGATTTCTCAGTTTTCTCTTCTAAAAGCTGTATACCATAGAAAATACCTATTAAAATTATGAAAATTTATCAATTGCTTTTATTTATTAAGTGATGGCTTACTAAAGTTAAAATACTCATGATTTTTTTTAAATCTAAACTTGAGCTGTGCTATAGGCTGAATGTTTATGTCCCACCAAAATTTAAATGTTGAAACCTAATGTGATGGTATTTGGAGGTAATTGGGTCATAAGGGTGGAGCCCTCATGAATGAAATTAGTGTCCTTATACAAAAGACCCCAGAGGGCATCCTTGCCCTTTCCACCAATAAGGACACAAGTGAGAAAATAGCAATCTATGAATCAGTTAAGGGGCCCCCAACAGACAATGAATCTGCCAGGGCCTTGATCTTGGACTTGGACTTCATGAATATAAGAAATAAATGTTTGTTGTTCAAGCCACCCAGCGTATGGTATTTTTGTGATAGAAGACCAAATGGACCAAAACATGCTGAAATAAAGATTCCTCAAACCTTAATCCCTTTCATAATTTCCTTTTGTACTAAGAATGACATATTTATCCATGTTAAAGCTAAACTTTTATTATAGCTGTTTTCCTTTTAAATATATAAAGTAAAAAAAATTATGCAAGTGCCTTCGAAATGTTATCATAGAATTTATAAGATCTTTGTCACTTACCTTTTGAAATATCTTTAATTGTTCTGCCATACAAATCATAAAGATATCTGGCTGGTGAATTTAGGTTCATTCTCACTGTGCAAGTATCTAAAACCTACCCGGGGGGGAAAAAACCTATAAGTAATTTATTACAGTAAGCTCTGGCTAAATCAAATAAACATTAAAAGTCCTTTCTATACTAAATGGCCATAAAAATTATACTGTAAAATAAAATTTGATGATTTAGAAAATGTTTCTAATATATGAAAAAAAAAAGCAGTTAAAATTATTAGATCACAATTTTACTTTAAAAACACACAAACAAGGGCACCCGGCTGGCTCAGCCAGAAGAACATGCAACTCTTGATCTTGAGGGCAAGCCCCACACTTATTATTAAAAATAAGAAATAAAAAATAAATTAAAAATATAATAAATAAAAATATGTTATATTTAAAAATATAAATAAAAAATATAAAAAATAAAATAAAAAATAAAAAACACACAAACATTAATAAAAAAGAGAAAAGAGATGCAACAAATATTAAAAAGTGGTTATACTGTATTTAATAAATGCTAGAACTATGGGAAATTTTTATATTATTCTTGCTATTTTCTATATTTTTCATTAATTTATAGTGGGAGCATATTACTTTTAAATTTGGTCTTAACACAAATAAATGGAAAGATATATCATATTAATGGAATGGAAGAATTAACATTAAAATGCCCATACTGCCCAAAGCAATCTATAGATTCAATGCAATCCTTATTAGAATACCAATAGTATTTTTCACAGAACTAGAACAAATTGTAAAATTTGTATGGAACCACAAAAGACCTGGAATAGCCAAAGCAGTCTTGAGAAGGAAGAACAAAGGGGGAGGTATCACACTCCCAGATTTCAAACTATATCACAAAGCTATAATAACCAAAATAGTATGGCACTGGTGCAAAAACAGACACATAGACCAATGGAACAGAGTTGAGAACCCAGAAATAATCCCACACTTCTATGGTCAATTTATGACAAAGGAGGCAAGAATATACACTGGGGAAAAGACAGTCTCTTCAATAAATGTATTGGGGAAACTGGACAGCTACATGCAAAAGAATGAAACTGGACCACTTTCTTATACCATACACAAAAATAAACTCAAAATGGAGTAAAGAGCTGAACATAAGACCTGAAGCCATAAAACTCCCAAAAGAAAACAGAGACAGTAACCTCTTGGACATCAATCTTAGCAAAATTTTTCTAGATATGTCTCCTCAGACAAGGGAAACAAAGAAAAAATAAACGACTGGGACTACATCAAACTAAAAAACCTTTGCACAGTGAAGGAAACCATCAACAAAATGAAAAGGCAACCTACTGAATGAGAAAGGAATTGCAAAGGATATTCCCAACAATGGGCTAATATCCAAAATATATAAAGAATTCATACAAGGGAACACCCCAAAAAAACAAATAATACAATTAAAATGGGCAGAGGACCTGAATAGATGTTTTTCCCAAGAAGATATATAGATGGCCACAGACACATGAAAAGATGCTCAACATCACTAATCATCAGGGAAATGCAAATCAAAACCACAAGGAGATATCACTTAATACCAGTCAGAATGAATAGGATAAAAAAGACAAGACATAACAAGTGTTGGCAGGGATGTGGGGAAAAGGGAACCTTTGCATGCTGTTCATGCAAACGTGAACTGGTGCAAATGTAAATTGGAAAACAGTATGGAGATTCCTCAAAAAACTAAAAATAGGGGCACCTGGGTGGTTCAGTCATTAAGCATCTGCCTTCAGCTCAGGTCATGATCCCAGGGTCCTGGGATTGAGCCCCGCATTGGGCTCCCTGCTTGGCAGGAAGCCTGCCTCTCCCTCTCCCACTCCCCCTGCTTGTGTTCCCTCTCTCACTGTGTCTCTCTCTGTCAAATAAATAAATAAAATCTTAAAAAAAAAAAAACCTGGGGCGCCTGGGTGGCTCAGTCGTTAGGCATCTGCCTTCGGCTCAGGTCATGATCCCAGGGTCCTGGGATCGAGCCCCGCATCAGGATCTCTGCATCAGGATCTCTGTTCGGCAGGAGGCCTGCTTCTCCCTCTCCCACTCCCCCTGCTTGTGTTCCCTCTCTCACTGCCAAATAAATAAATAAAATATTAATAAATAAATAAATAAATAAATAAATAAAAATTTAAAAAACTAACTAAAAATATAAGTACCATACAATCCAGTAATTCCACTTCTGAGTATCTACCCAAGGAAAATGAAAACATGAATTTGAAAAGATATATGCACCACTATGTTTATTGCAGCATTATTCACAAGCCAAGATATAGAAGCAACCCAAGTATCCATCAGTAGATGAATGGATAAAGATCGTATGTATATACAATGAAATATTACTCAGCCATAAAAAAAAGAATGAATTCTTGCCATTCCTAACAACATGGGTGGACCTAATGGGTATTATGCTATGCAAAATAAGTCAGACAAAGACAAATATATAATTTCACTTATATGTGTAATCTAGAATACAAAACAAATAACAAACAAACAACAATAATAACAAAGAGAAACACATTTATGAATACAGAGAACAAACTAGGGGCTGCCCAAGGGGAGAAAGGTGGGCAGATGGGCAAAATAGGTGAAGGAGACTAAGGGGTACAAACTTCCAGCTATAAAATAAGTAAGTCACAGGAATGAAAAGTACAGCATATAGTTAATACTATTATAATAACATTGTATGGTTATCGTGGTAAGCATTTTGTATTGTATATAATTGTCGAATCACTATATTGTACACCTGAAACAAATACGTCAACTGTACTTCAGTTAAAAATAAAAATAAATAAAAATTGGGGAGGGTATGTGCTATGGTGAGTGCTGTGAATTGTGTGAGACTGTTGAATCACAGACCTGTATCTCTGAAACAAATAATACATTATATGTTAAAAAAAAAAAAAAAAGAAGATAGTAGGAAGGGAAAAATGAAGGGTGGGGAAATCGGAGGGGGAGATGAACCATGTGAGACTATGGACTCTGAGAAACAAACTGAGGGTTCTAGAGGGACGGGGGGTGAGGGGAATGGGTTAGCCTGGTGATGGGTATTAAAGAGGGCACGTATTGAATGGAGCACTGGGCGTTATACGCAAACAATGAATCATGAAACACTACATCAAAAACTAATGATGTAATGTATGGTGATTAACATAACATAATAAAATAAATTTTAAAAAATAAAAATAAATAAATTAGGTCTTAAGGTACTTTCTTTGGGTTTTAAATTCTTTCCAATTGTCCTAAAGTCAATTATAAATATAGTCTGATCACAGTTCAACTTGATAACTTATGTTGTTTGGGTACTAAATAAGTGGAATTAAAAAACCACATTTCAAGGTTTCCCATGAGCCTGAATCTCAAGAACTTCTTATAATGGTTTCTAATATGGTAAAGTTGTTTTTTCAATATTTTTTTATTTTATTTTACTTTATTTTTTTAAAGATTTATTTATTTACTTCAGAGAGCTAGAGAAAGAGAAGGGGGAGGAGCAGAGGGAGAGAGAAAAACCTAAGCAGACCCCACACCCAGCATGGAGCCCAACATGGGGTTCAATCCCACGACCCTGAGATCAGGACCCCAGCTGAAATCAAGAGTTGGATGTTCAACCAGCTGAGCCACCCAGATGCCCCTGTTTTCTCAATATTGTAATATCTTGATCTGTCTTGATATAGCCCTTGTAACAATGACCTTTTCAACATCAGTGAAGACTTAAAACATGCATTAGTTAGAGGGAAAGTTCTACTCACAGCATGAAAAAAAATTAAAGGGTCTGGAGAGTATCAAGTAACCTCATGCAAGTTTTATTAGGTTTTTGGAAGTGACTCCCAAAACATGAATCACTATATCCATTTACAAGTATATAGTAGGGGTGCCTGGGTGGCTTAATTGGTAGGACATGCAACTCTTGATCTTGGGATTGTGAGTTCAAGCCCCACATTGGGTGTAGAGATTACTTAATAATAAAATCTTCAAGGGTGCTGGGGTGGCTCAGTCAGTAAAGCGTCCAACTCTTGATCTTAGCCCAGGTCTTGATCTCAGGGTTGTGAGTTCAAGCCCCACGTTAGGCTCCATGCTGGGCATGGAGCCGACTTAAAAAATAAAATAAATAAAATAAAAATCTTTTTAAAAAGTATATAATACATTCCAAATCCAAATTGAAAATACTTTGTCTTCCATTTTCACTATTAATGGCTATAATGTACTACTGCTTTTGCATAACCTAAACTATTGAAGGATGATATGCATTACATGATTACATAGTAAAAAGAACATCTTTCCATTGCTGTTACCACCCTGCCTCCAGCTCTGCCCAATTTTATCCCTACCTTAAAGATTTATTTACTTATTTTTAGAGAGAAAGAGAGCCAGTGTGCCTGAGTGGGGGGAAGGGCAGAGGGAGAGAGACAGAGAATCTCAAGCTGACCAGAGAGGGGTAAGGCCAACATGGGGCTGGATCCCATGACCCTGAGATCATGATCTGAGCTGAAATTAAGAGTCTGATGCTTAACTGACTAAGCCAGCCAGGTGCCCCATCCTTACAAAATTGGAAACTAATCCTAGTCCTAGCCCAACCAACTCATTCTCTTTGTGACAACTAACATATTTAAAGAGCTTCATGTGTATATAAAGACAAAGTTGTACTTTCCTTTCAGTCTGGAGAACAACTTTCAAACATTGTGACTAATTTGCTTTATCTAGTTGCTGTATCAAGTGATATGTGTTGCATTTAAAAGGCAAATATCTAATTGACTAATTTAATTTGACAAATTGGCCTTTACTGGATTACATCAGAGGTTCTCAGCCTTTATTCTACCCCTACACATGACCAGTGATGTTCTCATGAGCCACATAGTTCCACAGGCATTTATAGGATTGGGTGTGTTTCTTGCATGCTAGCTGCAATCCAGTTTTGGGCAATTTTTCAGAAACTATGTATTGCTGCTCTTTTTCTCAAAATCAGGAAGGCATATCTGTTTATGACTATGAATGAAGTTACAGGAATAATCTTGGACCCTCTAATTTATGAGGGAAATACTCACAATATCA